ACTGTAAACATTACAAAGCCCCTCCATATTGGCTGGCCGAAGTGAAAAGTGTCATGGGAAGAAGGGCTGAATGAATAGAGAGCAAGTGGTAATTGTCCACTCTATTATATCCCTCTCCCCAGGCCCAATTATCCTGGAGCCTTGCTTTACAAAACACTGGCTGTCTGACTGAACTCAACAACAGATTAGCTGTAACTGCATTCCTGGAATTTAAGTTCTTCCTGCCTCAGTGCTATATACAATTATCGGGAACACGGACCCATCAGGGCCAGGATGAGAATCAGCATCAACTCAAATTCTGTTAGGGCAGCATAACATTTCAGTTCAATAACACAGACAAATGCATCTTCAAAATTGTCGGTGCCGCATTACAATCTTAAAACGCATGAGCTAATTTTGTTTTTCTGATCCCTGTATTAGGTTAACGCAGCATTACGAAAATGCTTACTTTGGATATATCTTTTTCTTGCATACACAGGAACCAAAAACATTCAGATTTTCTGGTGCGAGATCTGTTAAGAATAACAGACTTAATCACTCTAAGGCCAAATGAATCTGATTTCTGTCTTTCTGTTGAAATTAAACAAAATCTCGTGTACTGTCTGCTTACTGTTTCATGTCAGTCTGTGTCCTCAGCAAAACAAGTTCCTTACAGGTAGGCCACATGGCTCACAAGCCCTAGCACATCACAGAAATTCAAGAAAAAATTGCTGATTGAATGACCATAATCTAGTTACTAGGGATAAATGAATTCCTACGAATATAAAGCACTGCTTTGAGGCTGTTACATATATATGTAACCAGTGCCTTTGGGCTGGGACACTTTTGAGTCAAAAGCTTGAATACATGGCAAACAAATGTCAAGGAGGGAAAAACCCCACAACTTTCAATATAGCAAATCCAGGTGATCTGGATGAATTCTAGGTTGACTTACCTTGAGGCAAGGGGTTAAGTAAGATGTCCTTTGGGATCCCTTCTAATTATATGAAATAGGCTGAAACTTCAGAAAAATGAATCAGAACAGAAAGTGGCATTCACTTGGAGAGAGACCCAAGGCACTTCCTTATCACTAGCTTCCATCCGAAGACTTTTCAATGTGGGGCTACAACACTGGAGTCCTTTTAAGACTCACCCAACCTGTTACTTTCTCTAGGAAGCATTCTCTGTTCATTTAATTTTAAGGCTACATTAAATGCCATTCTTCTTTCCTCCCTTAATATCCTGTGCATATGAAATGTTTAAGCCACCCACATCATACTTTGGCTACCTCAATGAACATAAGATGAAATCAGTTCAACTTACCCCAAAACACCCTATTTTCTTTAGGGCTTTGCTTTTGCCAGAGCACTGGATTTAACATTACAGATGTTCAAAGTGCCCCACGTAGTAAATTTCACCCCACCTAGAGATGAGTTCTCACTTTGATGCCCATGGCACGAAAATCTTTGCTGCTTCAGCCAAACTTTGAGAATTCTTTTTATTTTCTATTTGGCAGTCACTACCCTAGTCGTTGAAATAGTATGGGGTGGGAGAAAAGGGATAATAGATCAGAGGTGGCACCTGTGACTCCCTCTAAGCCCTCTGGGTACCATTCTAGGTAGTGGTCTCCGGAATAGTAACTGCTGCTCTGACACGCTGCAGCATAATGCAATATTCCTGCATCTAGGAACTTCTCTCTCTCTCCTTTCAGTCTTTTGTTTTTTCTCTGGGAAGTCAAGACAACTTGGCAAAGGAATAAGGTCACCTCCAGGATATTTCAGAGACTCCCAGAACTTCCTGTTTTGATCCTCAAGGAGACTAGAATTTGCCAAATAAAATTTATTTCGGGAGGATGTGTTGAGGCATACGATCTATTTTAATGTCTCTTAACAAGAACTGTGAGTTCAACTCTACTTCTCATGAAATGTGCTACTGAATCTCTAATTTGGACATTAACTGACCATTCTTAAGTGAAGTTGGTATCTCTCTTCCTGTTTTATTATCTGACAAAAGTCGAGCTAAAATACAAAGAAGAAGAGATAACACACCCCAATCATTTACAAGGGACACCTTTTCAGTGAAGGATTTAGTTCACAAATGATCTACGAAGTTTCACTGCTTAAAGTGAAAAAGAGAGGGAGAAATAGGAAGAACCTCAGAAATCATCTTCAATTCCTTTACTTCATAGTTGAGGAAGAAGTGAAAGCAATAGTTTAGCAGCCAAAACCTACTCAACTCTTTAATGTGACCATTACCAAGCATGGACTCATTAATTTTCACTGAGCTTCTGTTGCAAAGTATGTTCTAGGAGCATCAGTTGCATGGCTGGCTAGGACAGCTGTACAACTCAGACATCTGCAACTCTCTTTTCAAATGCCCACAACAACCTGTTAGTGAAGTGTTCATGGCAAAAAAAAATACCCTGAGAGCTGACAGCTAAGAAAGCAAATTAAAACCACAATTAAACTTCTCTTTGGTTATCGCTTTGGCTGCAAGTAAGATATAGCACCATTTTTTGCCACATTCACAGTAGGAATTTATTAGTGGTTGAAGAAATTAATGCATATGCTGAAGAACAGGTGCATTTTCCCCAAGAGCCGCAACCAGAAACCACTGTAGCAACACAAGTTCAATGGAAAAGATAGCTGCCACCTTGAAAGAAGACATTGTCCCTTTCAGTTGGAGAGGCCAGGACCAAATCCTTAAAGAACCTTAAGGGGAGTAGAATGGACAAAGACTATCCTAATATCAAGGATTATGAAGTAGCCAACTCAAGTTGTTTTCCCCTGATCCTCACGAGTCAAGATCCAAAGATAAAAGTTTAGATTAAAGCGGCCATTCACTACAAGAGTTCCGTTTTAAGACACTAAGGAAGGTCATCTTCAAACTAAAATTAGGCCCAGTTTTTATCCCATTAAATCCCAGGAAAATTATTCTACAAATAGAATGAGAATTTATTATGCTCTATTTTCCCATCACTTTAATAACTTTCTGAGGGCACTGACAAATCTAATTTAAAAAAGATAAATTTGGAGTCTAGCTCATAAAATTAAGAAAAATACTGTTCCTAATGGTAAGTTTTCTTAAATTGCCATTTAAATTTAGGCAAGTCATTTATTTGATTAACAAGGCGAACCTTGGGCATTTCTTTGGAGGAAGAGCGTGTATTGATTACTAGATTCTGCACCACTTTATCTCTGGCATATTTAAATGTCTCATGACAGCCTGCTTGTTTGGACAAGTACTCATGAAGCTTTTGTCCTGAGCCCAGGAACTGCTCTGTATCATGTAAATAATTGGATCTGATCGAGTGTCTGTCCAAGGCACTCTCTGGCCATTGTCCCTCCCAGGGTGGGAATGCAGCAAGATGGGCCTGGGGTTGTTTGGAGGTCATCACTCTCCCCACAAGCCTGGAGGTAACAGTAGAAGCAGCTGCACTGGGAGGCAAAGGCATCGGCTCTCTCAAATTGTACAACTAGAAGATATTCTCTAAAGAAGGGCCTCTCTACCATCAATGGAAGCCAAAAGCCCAGGAAAAAATGCAAAGACTTGTTTGCAAATTTCCCCCAAGGCTAGCTTTATATATTTATCACGATCTCTGTTAGTCTGCAATTCCTGTTCTTACCAGTCCTCTGCAGTTGAGGAGTCCCCTGCCAGTAAAATAAAAAGCCTGTGAAAACTCATCCAAAGGCACAGAGCACAGAAAGATGATCTATGATCTGTGGATGAGTGAATATGAATTTAATCTCTAATGAACCTATCAAAAAGACTTACTTTCTGTGTTTTCTACACCAGCACTGGTTCCCAATCGAACACTTTTTGTTTTTCCGTAGTCAAATCATTGGGTTTGCCTGGTCCTTCAAAGTCAAGTTCAAATGTCACATCCTTTAAGAAGCTTTTCCTGATGTTTGCAACCAGATGGTCTCTGCCAGAGCACTTTCTCCTATGGCCCTAATGTTTATAACTCCTTGCTCCTAGAGGCAGGGTCTTGTTTTCTCTTAATCTTGGTCCCCACTGAAGGCCACTTCAAAGTGCCTTCCAACAACAGGACTCTACTTGCATGAAATGGATCAAAGCACTAGAGGCGGGGGGAACTGGATAGGGGTTTCTGTGATAACTAAAATTGGTTCCCTTTGTAAACGAACAGAAATAGTATGATGCATAAAGGGAAGACAGAAATGTTTCTATACTAACACCGGTTTAGTGCTTCAACAGGTATCCCATAGGGAGGCAGCAGCGTGACTATCCCATCAGGCTGTCTGAGTTTTACAGTGATCCCCTACCCCCTTCACCTGATACTCTGATTTGGACTTTTGTTTAACAGAACATTCTGTCACCATTAACTTTTGCTCTGCATCTAAATTATTCCTAAATACACTTCAGCTGCCCATCTTCTGATGGGCCATTTTCAAAGGAAATGAAGTTAGGTTAAAAAAATACTAAGTGAAAGGCTGGATTTGATTTCTATAGCCAAGAGTGTTTCCTGGGCATGGAGTCTTATAAAGAATCTCCTATTTGCTCTGGCTAATTTGATACTGCATTGCCCATAGTTACAGAGAACAATCCCCATCTGTACATCACCCACAGCTATTTCAGATTGGTAAACATGTTTGTCCTGATGATTACTGAATATTTAAAGAGGTAACATCTCTTCCCGAGTCTTATTTCCCTCCACACTTATGACTAATATCACGTTATTACATAGCGTGGACTTGAATGTGACAATTTTCTTTTCAGATAATTTTGCTCTATTATCTGGCTTTATGAAAGGGAAGAAAAAAAAAGAAAAAGAAAAACGCATATAATCATACGTAGAGAAATCAGGATCTTGAGAATGTTTAGTTTAGAAATTCCAAAAGGAGAATGGAGGGTGCAACTTTGGGTATAAAATGCAGGATCCGAATACACAGGGTATCTTTCGACAAGGAGGAACAGTGTTTTAGAGGACAGATGAACAAGTAACACTTCCTCTGTGAGCCAACCCCACAGACTCCTCACGTGCACCCTCGCCCCCACCTTACCGCTTGTTCCTGTCCTCCAGCTGCAGCGTGTACACTGTGTCATCAGCGGCATGTGTCCTGGAGTTACTGTCTCCCCACTTTAGCTTCAGGCTCTGAGGACCAGCTGCAGCACATTCTAGCCTAGGAGGCAAGGGTGGTAATGGCCGAGTTTTTGCTTTAATGAACTGACTAAATGGTCCAGCTCCGATTTCATTTATAGCCTGAATTCTGATCCTGGAAAAAGGAAAAAATACAGACAATGGAGTTTAAGCAGCAGCCATTCTTCACTCAAAATAAACATTGCATGGAGTATTTCTTGCTTGCCCCTAAAGCAATACTGTATTGTAGAATAAAGAAAAATACATGAAAGTAACTCAAGACAGATAGAGACCTGGGCTGCTGAGAGGACAGATTATACTCTCCGTATCAAAAAACAGCAAAAAAAGCACATTAGCAAGATATCCCTTAGGTCTTTAAGTTAAAAATAAAACAAAATAAAGATTTGTTGTTTGAGGGAAGGCATCCTAAAGGCATGCCTTTATAGCTTCTTCTAGCCACCCTTAACTGCCTCAAAATTGGTCTTGGAAGCAGGTGGGGTATGAAGAATAAATGAAATAAGAGAAGGAGTAAGTCTCCTTTAGAGTTCAAAAACAAGGACAACAACTCTTCAATAGTTACAGGGCATTTCTCCTCCTCTCCTCGTCAGCCTTACCCACCAATCCCAGTTAGTCATTAACCACAGTAGCCCTGGTGGCATAGTGATTAAGAGCCTGGCTGCTAACCAAAAGGTCAGCAGTTCAAATCCACTAGCCACTTCTTGGGAAACTCTATGGGGCCGTTTTCCCTGCCCTATAGGGTCGCTGTGAGTTGGAACCAACTCAATGGCACTTAACAACGAGTGTGCCAGTAGCCAGGTGTTGTTCAGATATTCAAAAATCTTAACTGGATGCTTAGTAGGTGCACAGTCTTGTGGGTAATAAAGATATATTAACACCACCCTTATGGTCTAGGAAGTTAAAATCAAATAAAGCTAAAATGTATATGTAAAATAATATCCTATTATTACTCCTTTCTTTTTTTTTTTTTTGCTCTTCTACATTCTCATCAGTCAGTCAAAACAGATCTCCAATGTCAGAAAATAAGACATTGATGGCATTGCTCCATCTTTGTCCTCAACACTCTTCCTGCAGTGACAGCAGTGATGACGGCATGTTCTCAAAGCTTGCTTCTTCCTGACACTTGAAGGCCTGCACATTCTTGTTGCCTCCTCTAATTCTCTGACCAAAGGTTTCAGCTCCCCCTGCTGGTGCTTCCTCTCTTTGCTGTACAACATGGGCACTTTCTACAATTCTCTTCTCTCAGGTGATCTGCCACATTCCCACAGCTCCTGGGTCTATAGCTCCTCTAATCTCTTCGTGCCCCACTTCTAGCCCTCTGGGGGAAATCTCTACTGAGAGATACATGGATATCATTGAGTTGCCTGAGTAGAGTGGCGTCACAAGTTTTAAAGGTTTCAGTATTTAAACTTGATGTGAATTTAAACTATAGAGTTTCAAGATACATAGTAAAAATATGCTTGAAGACATAAATTCTTAAGCAATAGGTCAGTTAAAAATATTCTTACAATTCTGTTTTATGTACCTCTTTTACAATTACTGCTTATAGTTAAACAGAAAACATTAAGTATTGTAATACCTAAACTCATCATGTGATTTCAAATTAGGCTAAATTCTTCAAATGTAGCCAACTTAAAAGATTACATCAATCAGCAAGTCAACCTAATAACATGCCAATAAATTTTTCAGGAAAAAAAAAAAGGTTAATTCTAGGAGAAGACATACTCTACCCTGACTCTCCCACTGAATGTAGCTGTTAAACCTGGACAAAATAAATGGAGTAGCTATTTTAAGTCTCTGAAAAGTTAACAGTAGCGAGCAGATTGGAGAAGTTCAGAATTCAAAACACCACCAACCCAGCAATGAGTTACCATCTCTCCCCACCCATTCTCCCCCAGCCTGGACTCAGGGCACCTGAAATCCAGAAGAGAACGTCTGTGTGGACACAGGGTGCTCCAGGACAAGCCTCTAGTTCTGGCTCAAGGAGAGATAAAGAGGTCTCCTAGCGCTCCCGGAGAGTAGGGGAAATCCCTCGTTCCTCTTGTTTATTTATTTTCTTTACTCCATACTCTCATGCCCAGCCCCTAAGCAATCCCATCATATTAACAGTCTCAAGAAGAAAAACCACATGATCATTATCAACTGACAGAGAAAAAGCATTTGACGAAATTCAACATCTATTCATGATAAAATTTCTCAGAATGCTAGGGATAAAAGGGAACTTCCTTAACCTGAAAAAGGGCATCTATAAAAATACTTACAGCTAACATCATACTTAATGGTGAAAGACTAACTGTTTTCTCTTTAAGACCAGGAATAAGGCGAGAATATCTGCTATCACCACTCCTGTCCAACATCATGTACTAGAAGTCCTAGTCAGTGCAAACAAAAAATAAGGGGAAAAAAAATAAAAAAGGTATAGAGATAATAAAGAAATAAAACAAACTACAAAACTGGTGAAAAAAATAAAAGAAAACCTAAATCAGAAGAGACACATATGGTGCTTGTGAACAGGAAGTCTCTAACAGTAAAACTGTCAGTTTTCCCCAAATTGATCTATCGATACAATGTGATGCCAATAAAATTTCAGCAGGATTCTTAGCAGATAGAGACAAGTTGGTTTTAAAAGTTACATGGAAAGACAATGGAACCAGAATAGCTAAAACAAATGTGGAAAACACGAATAAAGTCGGAAGAATCACTACCTGCTTTTAGGACTTAACTATAAAGCTACAGTCATCAAGACAGTGTGGTACCGGTGAAGAGACAGACACATAGATCAATGCAACAGACTAGACTCCCAAAATAGACCCACACAAACATGGCCAATTGATTTTTTGACAAAGGTGCAAAAGCAATTCAGTGGAGAAAGGATAGTCTTGTCAACCAATGGTGTTGGGTTTCCTACCAAAAGGAGAAAAATAATTATCCTCCACCTAAACTTCATACCTTCTATAAAAATCTAACTCAAAACTGATCGTAAATCTAAATGCAAAATATAAAGCTTTCAGAAGAAAACAGAGAAAGAAGTTGTTGCCACCTAGGATTAGGTAAAGAGTTTTTAGCTATGACACTGTTTAAGTATGATCCATAAAAGAAAAAAAGGAACAACTGAACTTCATCAAAAAAAAAGAAAAAGAAAACAATCTTGGTACTGCTAAGAGAATGAAGATGAGCTTCAGCTGTGAGGCAATTATCTGCAAATTACATATCTGACAAAGCAATTATATTTAGGATATACAGACACTCAAAACTTAACAGTAAGAAAACAAACAACCCAATTAAAAAATGGGCAAAAGACTGGAAGAGACACTCCACGAAAGAGGATATACAGATGACAAATAAGCAAATGAAAAGATGTTCAACATCATTAACCATTAGGAAAATGCAAATTAAAACCACAACGAGATACCGCTATATCCCCCTTAGAGTGCCAAAATTTAAAAAAAAAACAAACAAACTTAACAATAGCAAGTGCTGGCAAGGATGCAGAGCAACTAAAAGTCTCATATTTTACTGGCGAGACTGCAAAATGGTACAATCACTTTTGGAAAACAGTTTAACAGTTTTTTATAAAGTGAAATATACACTTAACATATGACCCAGCAAACCCACTTCTAGGTATTTACCCAAGAGAAATTAAAACTTATCTTTACTCAAAAACCTGCATACAAATGTTTATAGCCACTGTATTCATAATAGCCTAAAACTAGATGAACATCTGCCTCACAGTTTGGAAAGCAGCAAATACTTATCTCTGACAAAGTACAGCAAAAATTCCATTTAAAGGGCCTTACTTTTCCCAGATTTTATTATACGAGGCACCTCATCAGGTCTCTTGAAGAAAATGCAATGTACGTCTCTCAGTATAACACTTCCTTATCTCCCAACATGAGTCTTATAAAATACCTTTATGATATTAATGCAAGAATTTTTTTTTTCTATGATTGGAAAGTAATAGATTTTTCTGCAAAAGGTAGTCATCATGACAGGAGAAATTACTATTCTTGTTTCCTTCTCAGGAAAGAATTAAGACTCAGCCTTTCTTCAACAGTGTAGTAAATTTCCTCAGCTACAAGACATATATATTAAGGCCTTACTGGTGTCCAAACTACCATTTCTTCCCTATATTCTTAGAACCCTGAGGCAAAGATGCTTTCTTCCATTTTCCATAGTCCTTCAAGGCCAAGCTCACCATTTTTCCAGTTGGTCCTACCATTTTGCACCATGCAGCCCCAAAAGCCCTTAGCTATTATAACACACGAAAGGAAGTGAGGTAATGGGTTACTCGAGATTGTTGTTCTGCTTAAAGAAAAATAAAAAAGCCAGGATATCTCCATCATTTAAATCACTGATCAATTAAAGTTTAGAATAAAAAAGTACCAAGATTTAAAAATAAATTTAGTTTTAATATTTGATTTCGTTTGTAAATTCACTTATTTCCTCAAAGCCTCCACAGTATTTTGATAAATATTGGCTTCCAGAAAGAATACTATGGTATTCTTGGGAAAAGTATCTAATACCTTTAAGAGATGGTTTCCTTATCAATAAAATGGGGATAGTAACCTTTTACTGCATTCATAAACAAGATTGCTAAATTAAGAAAAGGGATATGGGAAATGCTTTATCATTTTTAATATTTTATACTCCACCATACAACAAGAAAAGGACCCAAGGTGGCTAAAGCATTTTGGTGAACATTTAAGTGCTAATTTATTGGGTTATCATTCTTATGCTTTCTTTTGAGACTGTCATTTCTTTCCAACAGTAAAAAGAACATGGTGACCATCCATCAGGAATGTGCAGGACACACTGAGGCACATCTTCACTTTAATTGTACTGTAACTATCACCCCACTTTATGAGTTGAGTAATCTTCTGATACCATCTATGTCTTTCCTCTCTCTGAATTATGATCAAAGACCCAGGAACAGTAAAAAGACTGGCTTAAGGTGGATTCTTTTTTTCTCATCCTCAGGAGGGTGAGGGGGAGAGAAAGGACTCGGGAACGGATGAAAGTGCTATTCATGACGAGCACCGTGACAAAAAACATGGAAAACTTGCTCTGTTCAAGTGCCTGTGCTACGGAATAGGAACTTCTATTGCCTTTGCTTTTAGC